GTGATTCACGCTGCAAGCATCTTTTAGAAATTGTACAAGTTTCTGTTTTTGTCTTGGCTCTCCCTTGTTTCTCTCATTTCCTATTGGATCACATGTATCATCTGTGCCTAGTTATCAAGAACTTCTACATGTGGATCCATGTACTTGTGAAACAGGATTTCCCACTCTCACCAGCAGTCAGTCTCCTCTCTCTTTGGCTGGTCACCTGTAGTGCCACAAACGTGCCCATTTTTGCCTGTATATACTTACTCTTGTTGGCTTTAAGCCCCATCCTCTTCTCTCCTGATATCTTTCCTTTCCCACCCAAATACTACCAGGCCCTCAGGGCTCAGTTAAAATTTTACCTCTTCCCCACAGTAAAGCTGTCCCGAAATATTTTATTCCTCATTGTTTTATGTCTTCTGAAATATATAGACAGAATGATCTAGCCCTTAATTGGCTACTGTTTGAAGGAGTTTTCCAATTTTTCTTACATATATATTTTCTCTTCTAAACTATATTATACATTTCTTTTTTAAAAATTTTATTTATTTATTTATTTTTTATTTTTATTTTGTCAATATACAATGTAGTTGATTATTATATCCCATCACTGAAACCTCCCTCCCTCCTCCCTCTCCCCCCTCCCACCCAAGTGTGTCCGCTCCATTTGCTTGTTGTAAGAACTTCGAAAAAAATTGTATATTATACATTTCTTGAGAGTAAAAACCATGTTTTCTTTTTAAAAGTTCTCATAACAGCAGCCAAGGAGCTGAGCATATAGTTTCTCCCAAGGATTATTGTTCATTGACTGCTCTCTAGCAATGAGGGTATCTGTCCATTTCACGTGTATGGGAGGGAGAGAAATGCCTTTTGGATCAACTGTCATGAAGAGAGATGGGCCATGTTATGTTAATTGGAAATAATTGATTATGTCTGAATAAAAGATTCATTAAATTATGACTGTAGTACTTTTTTTCTATTTTCAACACTTATGATGGATCTTGTGACAGGCAAAGTTTATGTTTCCTTTTCCAGTTATATATTTATTACCTCCTTGTTTCTAGCAATTTTTAGATATTCCAATGGATAAGTTCTTTAGGATAAAGAGACATAAGCTTTCTTACTTTATGCAGAACATGTTTGAATTCCTGAGAACGTAGGAATCACCTGGAGACCTAGCTAAGTCACAGATCTTGGGGCTCCACCCTAGAGATTCTGATTTAGTGGGTCTGGAGTGGGACGTGAGAACATGCATGTCTAACATGCTCACACACTGGGTGATGCTGATGCTGCTAGTCT